TGGGGGGGGGGGGAGTGAGCCATATTCTTGGTGTGAAAAACTACACCTGAAAGTGGTCCAGTATTGGGGAGTGTTGGTGAACCGGGAATTGCCGAGTGTTTGTTTTAGATGTTACTCCTGATTAGTGGTCTACTCGTATTGAATAGTAGTCTGACAGACCGGTTCAAGGGACTGAGGCAACTAGAAACAGATAACCCAGAAAGATTGTATCGCTTGTGAACGTGACGTACACAGCTGCGGGTGATCGAAGCACTGGTCGAAAGTCCGATATGATCGCCATGTAAGTACCTTTTAAGTACTTTTTTGTAGAAAATCAAAGGAATGGTACGAAAACATTATTCCGAACACTTAATATAATGAAGTCCGGGAGATGAGTTTGGATTCTGCCGAAACCGGAGATCGCTTGAGAAACACACTGGGTGGTTGATCGGTGATTGGATCATTAAGCCACCCATTTAATCGAACAAAATTTTTCATCGCCAAAATTCCCATCCGTAGTGAGTTGCTCTCAGATTAGCAGTATTTATTCCCTAAACTGCACTCAATAATTATGAATATTTTGCTGTTAGAAGCAATTCAAAGATAAGGCATTCGACACTCCCCATCTACGTCTGTATAGGGGATTTGTGGATGACACATTGACAATACTTGGAACCTCCACTGCTGACCAGTACCACTAAAAGTCCATGTAATGGTACCCGGTATCAAGCTGAAAAGCGAAAGAGTAAAATTACCAACTTTCTTCCCTTGATATCTTCATCATGAGAGAATAGAATGGGAGAGGAGAGATCATGGTCTGTCTATCATTCTCCCAATCGTTTATCTTATTCTATGGTTGGTTTATAAATGAATTTTACTCTTGCCTCTCTATAAGAGTGAACTATTTGTTCATTCGGTCTTACACGGAGTGTTGCCATGGCATTTGCTCTATAGAAACCACACCTGGTAACTTTGAACGAAGTACACAATAGAATTCCGTATTCCAGAACACGATAAAGTACATTTCACTTCTTTTGACAACAGCCAGAACGATAACTAATCATTGTAATTGTTGAGTGAACAATAGGTAATGAACTATTCATCATTCGCTTTCTCTGTAATTTGGTTTTTTGGTTAATCACTGGTGTTCCAGAAGAGAAGACCTTTCCATGCACTGTTGTAATCTGGGTTAGGTTTTCAGTTTTCACCTCATTTTGAGCTAATAAATTCGTAAAAAATAAGTCTTAAAATTCGATTTCGCTTGTTCGTGTAAATGTTTTTAATTGAATTAACCTGATGGGTTTGATACGTCCCGTATTGCCCACTGGGAAGCGTTTGTACCAGCCATTAGTATGGGTGTTTTTCACCCTGCAGAGTAATTCACAGAGAACATAGATTTAACCGACCAGTTGGCTGGAAAGGAAATGCAACTCAATCTATCGGTAGTCACATTGCTGGATCCTATCATATAATAAAATGCATGTGTAGGCATTTAGTAGAAGTGACTATCTCTGCACTCTTGAGGAGGAAAACTATTGGATTTCCCTTGCTTTACTTATTGTCGAACCAGCAGTCATGTGGTCGGTGTACCTAGTCAGCGGACGTCTCCACATGCAGGAATGAAAACGCTTATCTATTTGGTAGGGAATAATTTTTTTCTGCAATGCTGAACTGTTTATGATGCACATATTACAATTTTTATCGAGTTATCGTCTATTTGGTGACGTAACACAGCACCAAGCCCAAATGTAGATCCATCTCGCTATCGGTGAGTTTGTTTGAGTTTAAATGAACCAAACAGAATGATGATTCTAGCCGATGTTTAACAGTGGTGAAATCTTTCATTAATAAATAAACCCAAACCCATGGTTTATGCCATAAATCACATAATGTGGTCTGAGTTTTTGGGAGATATTAGAGAGGAATAGACAGCAGTGAGAGAGCATACCAAAGAGGGATGATGCTCCATTAATATCCGAGGCTATAGAGCTTCTAAGATGCGTTTAGCTTTATTCTCACTGATAGGCAGTCCGTTTACATCAAGATGATAGCCAAGATTCATAATAGAGTCACATTTGAATTCACATTTGGATCGTTTCAGCTTCAGCTTATGTTTGTGTAAGTGTCCGAGAATGGTGGATATGGTCTGTAAGTGTTCGTCATTAGTACACCACCAGTAAGGATATCCTCCAGATGCCCATACGTGGACGAGATGCCTTGGATCAAGTATCAATAATTTTCTTGATAAATGTGCTGGGTCAGAACTAATTCAGAAGGGTAAACGAGCACGTTGAAAGAGACCAATGTGGCTTGTGATTGTTGCTTGGGCATGAGAGCATTCGTTCAACTCAATTTGAGAGCATACATACACAAATTCTCCACAGGTGGCATCGAATTTGTGATCATGGTGGTGAATCAGTTTATGAGCAACGCCAATTCGGAGGTAATCATCTGGTTTGCCCAAGGTACCAATCGATATTTACCATTAGTGGTGCTAGGCTGCTTTTATTAAGCCTTCTTTCTGTAACCTCTGCAATTCTTCTCCTAACTTTAATCTTACTGCGTACATCAAATGCTGTGATATGGTTGAAAAACAATTGCACATTGTGCTCCAGTTTGATATTCGCATGGAATCCTTTCAGTTTTTCCAAAGCTGCCATCGAATATACCAGCGTGGTCAGATAGCATTGCTTCCGAGTGTTTTGCAGGTCATATGATTCACTGTATTCAATCCGTTCGTAAATGCTCCTATCCAGTCACGTTCAAACAAGTTGGAACATTAGTTGGCTAAAATATAGACGAGGATTGTGCGTTTTTTGCCATG